AAGTGTAGACAAACTTAGAAATACTTTGTAATTAAACGATACGCTAATTTATTGAATAATTTCTTTAGTTCGTACATATAATGCACATTCGCGAGAATTTACCGATAAAAAGATCATTATAAATACAAAAAATACGTATGTACTAAAAAAAGAATTGGATAAGAATTAATACTTCTCGATTATAGAATTTTAGAAAACGTAAACATGTTAAAGTGATTTGTCTTACTTTATGCGTTACCCCCCCATAAATTATGTATAGCTAATTATGTGTATGCTTTGAATATTTGTTTTAATTACCGCTACGAATTATATGTAAAAAATTTGAAAGTTGATTCCTCTCTATACATTGTCTAAACTAAATGTATGGAACTTAATGTAAGAAACGTTAAACTGTTGGTATATCATATACCTGTACGATACAGAGTGAGAAACAGACACACCAATACCTTGGATCTTAACGATCGCTTTGTCTTGTCAGGAAGCATTAATTGTTTACGATAACTGAGTGAAAGTATCTGAAACTTTTGTTTTTAAAAGTGTAAAAGGAGCAACACAGTAATCTTTTAAACATGAAAAAAGAGTTAAGGAAGACAGTAAAAAAGAGCTTTACACTGACAATGTAGTTTAATTAATATATATCTATATATATATATATATATATAATTATTTCATGTAAAAAGAAATAAGAGTAAAAATAGTTTCAATGGTCCAGGGTAAGGGTGGCATACTGGGTTAAAATTGTGATTGGAATGTATGGAAAAGGTATATTAGGACTCCGTTCTTTTTTGATAATCCTGTCACAAAATCGTGGCTGATAAACTTACGTTAACTCATTCATCTGAATAAACTGTGATTAGATTGAAGTCCAACAGAAATACAATGTATAATGTACTCCGTTTCATAGGCTGCAGGCCTAGAAAGTCTGATTTTTTAACTACTATGAGAACTTGTGTATTATAATATGATCTACGACGTTTGTTTATTACTATGTAAAGTGACAAATTTCAAAATTAAACATTAATTACTGTTATTGGTTTTGCTTTTACTTTAGAACTTTTAATCTCATATTATATTGTTAATAAAATGCAACATGTACATTTTCTGTTCGTTGAAGGAAAATTAAACGAAACTGTACAGTTATAGCTTAGATGGAACATGGCCTAGCATTGTGAATAAATATAGAGAAAACTGATGTATTCTCGTAAATGTAGTGACGATTAATGAATCCGCATAGAAATGGGATAAAAAAGAAAAATGTATCCCTGCATGTAATTTTTAATTCAGGGCATAAAGAAACTGCCAATATCTTTAATACAAGAGACTGACAGTATCTTTACACAAGATGCAGATTCGATTCAAATCACAACTCTGTTTACGCAAATGACAAATATATTTCTTTGACGACACTCAAAACGATATGTTACGAGGAATGAAATCGAATTATTTTATACTTCTTCAATCAAATACCATTAACACTTCGGATCGTTTATCATTTAAATGACTTACAAGGACATCAACCATTACCTCGCTGTAGCATTACTTATTTTCTAGTCAATTTGATGAACTTCGAAGACACACACCGATACTTTATTTCTGATCCTTAAAACAGAGTAGTTGCAGAGAAAGGTTGAAAAATTAATATCATTTTGAAAAAACATGATATCGAGAACAGATTATAATGTACTTTTAGTCTTCCCTCTTGTTACTTCGAATTTACACGTAATAAGTAAAATTAACTATGTTGTTGTTTCAACTCTTTTTATTTTATTTTTATTACAAAGTGACAGTAAATATAATAAAGTATAATAACATTGTTACTGGATTCAATTTCATTTGGTCAAAAGTTACGAAACATCAATTTTTTTATACTTGACATTATTAATTCATTTATAATTAATGTATTTTTATGTTAGTTAATTTACGATGAAACAACGTTTATCAAAAAAAAAAAGAAAAAAACATTAAATATAATACTTTAATATAGAAACAAAATAGAAAAACTTCCACGTTATTGTTCATTCTTTCATCAAACTTCAATTATTCACAAGGCATTTGGTTTCGATGAACATTATCAAAAAAATTATTCGCGGACATTTCTTAAAAAAAATTTTCATTATTTTTACGTTGAATATCGTACAGCTCAAAACATTTTCGTATGATTTGAAATGAAAAGCACAAAACGATCTTTCAATAGAATAACAAATGTCTCCAAGAAATCCTTATGTTATATAAGATTATTTCGAACGTTCAACATATTCTCGTAGAATTTTTTCATTTTCATTCGAACATTTGTAAATGCTGCGGGGTGACCACGTTTCCGGACGAACATGAAGCAAATTACTCTAGATAACAAACGAAAGTAATATCATTTTGAACGTCTTATATTGTTTCGTCTGTTTGTGCACAAAATTGAAAGCTCTATTGAAACGGTGACACAAACGCATTGTTATGTATGTTTATAAACGTAATTTTTACGAACGAACATTCCTGATTAAATTTTGATTCATCATATTTAAGTCCTGCGTGATTTCGCGCGACATATATTTACAAAACGCGATTAAACGGTACGTCATATGTCTACGTTCGATGAAGAATTACAACATGTAAATAAGATTTATTTATAGTAATGGGCACTGGACTACAATGTCGAAATCGAATGTTTCCAAAGATGCATAGAAGAAAAATTGTAATTCTAAAATATACGTCCTCGGTTGCACATTGTAAATATTCAATGTCTTCTAAAAACAGGCGCTGTTACGTCGTTAAAAAAAAAAACAAAAAAAAACAAAGAAAAAACATGTTTCCTCGCAACAGTAAGAGAGTAATTCAATTTATCTTTCGACGGTGTCATACGCGCGATTTCACAGAATATCTTATGTTTAGAATTTATAATGCAACACATCGAATTGTAACATGTGTACATTATTTAAAAAAACCCGTGCGAAAACACGAAAATTAATGAAAAACCAAGTGATACATCGCGTTGTACGCGTTAACTACACACCAAAAAAACAAACAAACAAATTGTATCAACGCTTTCAACACGAAAATCAAACGAATGCTGCAAAATTTGATGAAAAAAAAAACGAGAAACGGTTCCATTTAAAATTGAAAATTCTGCCAATTACGCTCTTCGCGATGCCTGTGTACAATTTCATGTAACAAGTATACGTACGCGAGTACCTTAATGAAACGATACAACATATAATTTTTATAATACATATCGAACGATCACGTGAATTATCACCAACCAAGAATGTTAACGTGTTCGCGATTATTATGTCATCGTTATGAAACACTAAAAAATGCCTGTATTTGGGTCCAAAGCGTTCGAGAACGGTTCCCGTTCGTTGTTCGTAGAAACGAAGAGATCGATTTTTCCCATATGATTTCGCTTGATTTCTCCACTTGATAATCAACACACCGGCGGACCCCGCTCCTTAACGTTTAAGGATTTATTTCGGAATCGAGAGGAGAGGCAAAAACAAAACCTGTGTAACTGAATATTTCGACGGACACGAATGTCGTTCGGAGAGACCCGCCGGGGCTGGCTTGTTTATGTTACGAATCACGGAAGGAAAGGCAGGGTACAAGAACGACGGTTTCCCCCCGCGTGGCTCAGAAAATGCTGCTTCTAATATAAAATCTGTAACGCGCGTTACGCATGAGTTAACTCTACACAACATACTGCGAACGAACTCGTTGTACGTTCAGTGCCTTTTTAAACATATGTATTTCTATGTATGGAAAGATCAATGAATGCTTTTGTATCTACCGATATCTTCCGATTCCCGCAAGAAGTTTTCGACACGATACGAAAATAATCCGTTAGAGAGAGAGAGAGCAAGCGAGCGAGAGAGAGCGAGAGAGAGAGAAAGAAAGAAAGAGAGAAGGTTGTACTCCCTGCCGGTCAGTACAGACGATATTATACAATAAAACCTCGATCAGAAGTTGGCTTATTGTTTGTACATACGACGAGTGCACAGAGTAAACGAACTTCGAGTCAAGCGTTGTTACATAGTATACATACAATATTATACATATACATATGATTCAGCATTAGCATACGATTGATTTGAAGTGCATCAGTTTCAAAGGTACACGCATATTTTTATAAATGTCGGATATTGAGATACGATACGATGATTTTACTGTGTATATAGGCCGAGTCCTCCTAAAACTTGGTGTACGCAAAAAATACTTCCATTGCTTCTCTGGGAATGCAAATAAAATTCAAGGTAACAATTTGTTGGACTATGAAAAAAAAAAGAAAAAACCATAACGATCACTTTTTAAGTCCTTGAATCAAATCATGCAATGTGCTCGAATTACGGTTCGGGAATGGTTATAATTTATGAATCCTAGTTAGGAAGAAATTTCGGCAGAGGTACGCTATTCGGTGGTTCAGACATCGCACAGTGTGTATTGTTTTTTTCTGTAAGTGTAGCGTTGCAGGAGATTTCAAGGTGAACTTAATTCTCTGAATAGGATATGTAAAAGGCGATATAATAGAGTATTTTCGATTGAAGGTCGCAAATCGACGAGATCGCAGAACGTAAGGTGTTTGTGTAAAAGTTATATTGCTAATTAAGTCCCAGCTGATCCCCTTTTTTCAACCGCATAATTAAAACGAACCAACAACAACGTCTTTTTTTTGTAAAATAATTGACAAAATCGTAGGACTTACAGAATTAAGTTAAATTTCTTAAAATTAACTTAACTTAACATAATTAATATTTCTTAAATTAACTGAAATTTCCTATTTTAACTTCACATCCACCAATATGTCCGACTTGGAACGATAAAATAAATAACGCACGTTCGCTATTTATTTTCCCTTCAGCGTGTCCATCGCCGAAAAAGTTAACAACAATATAATAAACTTATAAGGTTCAGAGCACTTTATACGATTGTAACTTTTATGGATAATAATAATAACTTATTATTATCTCATAGTCATAACTTGGCCGTTTGGTCTTTTGTGAATCATTCATTTTTGTCCACACAGGAACATTAGGTGGCAAACGTTAAGAGGTCGAGGAGGGGGTTCAAATTGAACGAGTCCTCCCTGCGTTCGCTTAACATCTGGGATCTTGCTGATTTTGCGTGCCTTTCGGTGAATGAAATTTAAGTTCGCCTTGAAATCTTTCCCGCCTACAGGAAAAAGTATCGACACCATGTAATGTCCGAATAAAAACATGTTTTTTGGGAACAGTGTCTCTCTTTTCGTTCTTTGTTCCTTGGAGAATATATTAAATCGTTCTCGGAAACCTCGGACACATTGTTTTGTTTTCGTAATCCGTGCTGCAACGTATGCACACATGTGTTCCGTACCTGTGAAATGAAAAATTCAATTTACTTTCAATTATTCCACGCGAAAGCGAGAAACGGAAATGCTTTCTTCGCCGAAAAGAATTTTCAATTAACATTATAATAATAATATATATATATATATATATACATACATAACAAAAAAAGAATTTAAGTTTAATTTGTCAGTATATATATAGAAATCTCTTCTTTTTTCTTCTCTGTGAATATCATAAAAAGTGTGATATCGGTTAATGTCATTATGTAACGAAAAGGAACACAGGTTACATGGAAACAGCTGAATGATTCGAACATTTTTTGTCAATTCCGATATCGAACTTCAAACAAAAAGTTTCTCTAGCAAAGATCTGCGAGTAATACCGAATTTAACCGAATATATTTGCAATTCCAGTCAGAGACGATTGGTCTGTTATACAGTGCTACGTATACATACACAAACAAGGGTGTGCACACATGCATACATACATATACACATGTATAGAAAATACGTAACAACGATGTGTGATTTACGATACACACACATGTACGCATATTATATATATGTATATGTATATATATATGTATATGTATATATATATATATATATACATGTATAAATATATTATTAAAAAAAGATAATATAATACGCATAAACACACGAGCGCGAACACATACACGCGCTCGCACGCGAAATTGTATTGACAAAATATGGAAAAGAAAAATACACAAAGTTATATGTATTAGCTATACATATTAATTTGTGGTACTGTATGTAAGTTATAATACAACTACACACACATACTTTATGTCTGATGTGTGAACATTTTCGATGTATCTGTAATCATATATATTTGTACATAACAGGCTCGTTTGTTGCGTCCATTATGTGGCTAGAGACTACTTTGTACATAATATAAATACACACGATGAATGAATGAATAAATAAATACGTAAATAAGAAAACAAGTCTATTATATATTTTTTTAAGTGTTCAGAATGTTATTTCGACTTTTGACAGATGGATCGAATTATTTGATCCACGCAAAGTGCAATTTGATAAATATTCAAACGTAACAATATAAGTTCATTTATCATTATTATTATTCATTTTTACGCGAATATGTTTATGAAGTTTAAAAGAAATACACGTAAAGAATATTTAGTTTACAGTTTGATGACTCGACCACTATTGAACTACTACTTTCTTTAATTACTTGTATGTGTGTGTGTACCACACCGGTGCATATGTTCACCTGAAATCCAAACATAATCGAACGGAATTTATTTTAATGCCTAAAAATATAACAATTTATAACGCAAGTTATATAACGATTTTAGAACAAAAATTTGGATAGTAGAGAACACTGAAAAAAAATAATGTGATCATATAGTACCGTTAATTGAATTCAAAATGCGAAAGAAGCATAAATCACTAAATGAAGAAAAGAACTAGAGAATAAGCTGTACATATTAGAAATCCTATCTATATATTCTAATTTTACCAGATTTACATAAAATATTTAAAATCTTTTTAATGAAATTCAAGAATTGAATGTTCCTCGAATTTCAAGTGAAATTTTAAGAAATATTGTCAATTTTTCCGTTAAACTTACATTTTACATGATCTTTTTTTTTTATTTGTTTAGTTTGGAATAGATTTCATATAACTCACGCGTCTGTATAGTAAACATACTCACACCTATCCATAGTTGTATTATACATACGTGTGTATGTAATTCTATTCACAATGGACTAAAGCCAATGGCCATTGCGCTTTCAGTAATCTTGATTTCTATAGCTGGCAGGAGAGTAATGTTTTATACTCTTCGCAGTGTTACCATAATAAATAAGTATTTATCATATTTGACTGCATGAACGAATAATAAACATTATTATAAATTATAATTTCCACGATAAATAAGTATATAAACATAACCTACAATAATATATAATCGTCTGTTTGACAGTAATAAAACTTGTCTGTTACAATTAAAGAAGACAACCAGTGAATGTTATTGGTTATTGTGATTAAAAAGAAATCGATACATAAACAATTCAACATTTTTTAATTATTTACCAACGCAAGGTTAAATATCTAAAATAAATTCCTGTTCTGTCACAGTAATTACTTTCTTTTTTCATATCGTTCGAAACTTACAAAGAAGGCCATCGCTATCCGTTAAGTTTCTCTTTTTCCGAAATAAATACTAAAATGAAATATTCCACTTCACCGCCAATAAGTAGATGCAATTCACCCGGTCCAAGCGAGTTGGGCTTAAATTTGCCAATGCCAGTAACTTACAGGTACATATTAACTTGTCCGATATATGTGTTATATTTTTGTAACTACTCCGTATAATGTACATAAGTTTTATAGGCAAGATTGTATGGGAGCTGCAACAAAATGTTACAAATATTTAAGGAAGCTATTGAAATTTGAGCAAATGGACTTTGAGTTTGCTTTATGGCAAATGATCTTTTTGTTCATATCACCACAGAAAGTATACAGGAATTTTCAAAGTAGAAAACGTATGTTATTCTGTTCGTAATTTATGTACGATATGATATAACATTGTAAGTAATGGTTCGTTTCAATTTTAGAAACCAAATCACAATTTGCAAGAGATGATCCTGCATTTTTAGTACTGCTAATGTGCTGTTTGTGTATATCTTCCGTTGGTTTCACGATAGTTTTGGGTCTAGGATTTTTTCAATTCATAAAGCTTCTATTTTATATGATATTCATTGATTATCTCGTGGCTGGTTTAGTAGTAGCCACAACATTCTGGTAAAATTTACAGAAGTATATAATATAACGCTGCATATTAATTTTATGTAATATCATTAAAATGTCAGTGCATACGTGACGACGTACATGATTAATATGACAATTTGCAGGTTTATAACAAATCGTTATTTAAGAATCGACACAGCTCAGGACGTAGAATGGGGTTATGCATTTGATATTCATTTAAATGCATTTTTTCCACCTTTAGTGATACTTCATATTGTACAGCTATTTTTATATAATGGTATGATTTTTTATGATCATGGATAACTACAATATTATTTGATCGTAGTAATTCATCATAACGTAATTATCACGAAAGCTTATGAATATTCACTTATTTGTAGGACTCATAAATTCCGATACATTTTCATCACGATTTGTTGGAAATACAATTTGGTTGATAGCTGTTGGTTACTATATTTATATTACTTT